ATTCACAGGGAGCATCACACCCGCGCCATAGATCTCCGACCCCGACGCCCAAGCTCCTGCCGTTATTCAGCGCCAGATCCGCGCCGCCCCACCTTCGCCGACCGTGTCGGGAGCCGTCGTCGGCTCGTCGCTGCCTGCTTCGTCTGGGCATGGGGGACGACGAACACGAGGAGCACCCGCGAAAGGGTCGTTTGTTCCAGCCGCACACCCACGGGGCTCCGTTCCTCTTCCCCAAGGTGGCCCGGACCTCTGTCCGCCGAGCACCATAGCCATGACTGGCTCATCCGCGCCGGTGATGCACTGGCCTTGAGGGAGGCTCGTTTTATCTGATCTCTCTCTTATTCTCTTGATCAGCCATCTCGGCTTTGTTATTCGGCTTGTTGATTGTCTACTTTCGAACATATATAAATTTGTAGGATTCGATGCAAAGCTGCGAGGTGGGATTAATAGTCAATTTAAAGACTGCTGATGTGGGGAAGGACTGATGCATCGGCGGCGCGCAACGGAGTGGGGTTGGTCGGCGGGGCGTTGTGTGGCATGGCAGGAGGTGGAGATGGGATTGAGATTTTTTTTGAGGGGATTGGGAGACAGGGTCGGGCGGGTGGGTGGGTTATTTCGTTTTTTCTCCCGTCAATACCGGTTCAGGTTGATTATTATTGTACTGCGGGTTGAATACCCAAAATCATAGGGGTTTTTTTGCAAAAATGCCAAACGACGGACGACCAGAAGCGATAACTGCTTTTTCTTTCCCTACTAATAAAGCACGGAGTGCTTCTGGTCGTACGTCGTCGTCACTTTTGCAAAAAAGTCCCTCTACTTCTGAGAATTCAACCCGCACTCTGATTTTAAGTGAATATCTGAGAAGACGTTTCGTTTCTACACAAAACCCCTGCAGTTTTTAGTATTCAGCCCGCTATCTTTTTTAGTGGAGAGAGGAGAGGCGGGCGAGTGGGAAAGGCGACCGGCGGCTGCGAGGCTTGCGGTGGCGCGGTCGGCGAGGATCCACCGGATCTCGCCAGATCCGGTGGGAAATGGCGCGCAGGCGCCGGATCTGGAAGGAAGTAAACCGGACCTTGGAGCACGACTGCTGGTGGGTGCGCGTCTGGTACCTATGAGAGAAGAGAGAACGAGCTGGAGAGAAAAGGAAGGACGGGAGGAAGGAGATGGAAGGCAGGAGGGAGAGAGAACAGAGCGGCGAGGTGCGGCAGTGGTCCTGCTGGGAGGAAGGAGATGGGAGGCCAGAGGGAGAGAGAAGGGACCGGTGAGGTGCGGCGGTGGTCCTCCTGCTGCTGCTGCTCGTCGGTGGGTCGCCGGCCATCGGTTCGTGGTGGGGCTCGGGTGCGCGGATGCGTCGGGGTCGAGGGAGCTCTCCTCCCTCGCGGCTGGAGGCGCTCGGGATCGAGCGAGTGGGCAAGGGGATCGGGATCCCCTGGTGGCTGCCTGTTTGGGGATTGCACGAGATGCTGCTCGGGCCGTGGGCTGGCCGACTCGATCTCCTCGATCCAGGGCCCCATGCTCGTCAGCGCCCGCCCCCATCGCGCACGACTTTTCTGATCCAGCGTGCAGCGAGGGCGCCGCCGCTACCAATCTCGCCGCCGCCCTGTCGCGGATCGCCATGCCCGCCAACGCCCCAGCCATCCCTCATTTTATTCACTTCACCAGCTTGTTAGGGTCCCTCTCCACTGATCTGAACACCGCTGCTACATCCCCTATTGCGATCATCCCTTGCTGATCTGGGAGGCGTTGGAGTTCCGGTGGGCCGGCGTGCGCGGGGACGCGGGAGAGGTGCTGGATGCGCTCAACGCATGGAGGAAGGAGGAGGTGTTCGGGAGGCTCGGGAAGATTTGGGCTTGCGGGGAGAGGCCTTGAAGCAGTGGCGGCCGTTGATTGAGGAGTGCTGCGCATGGTGGCTGGACATACAGGGAGTGAGGAAGAAGACGTTGGGGCCGGCTGAAGAAGATAAGATTGAAGGAGACAGCGGTGCATGTGGGTTGCGGGGTGCCAAACGATATGCGTCGCCAGCGCGAGACGGTTGATGGAATCGTTGTCGCCTACAGCTGAACATAAGGTTGGAGTAATAAAAAAATGCATGCACGCGTCCCTCCTGAGCTTCTTCACTTGTTTCTTGCCGTGCATGCATACAGGGATTTGGTTCTACCTTTTTTTTCTAGATTTTGGATTTACATCTGTTTGTTTTATCGTTTTTCTGCTTTCTAAATTGCTTCAAGGAAAACTTGATACCCTAGCATGAAAACACACATATTCTGATGCTAATCTCTAACGTAATTAAATTTATTTATAAGTTGCTACATAGGCTATATTTATAATGCAAATCTTATATCAACTTACGAGAAAGACTTCATGGTTAGCGCACACACAACATGTTTGGGCGCTAGGCGAAGTATACAACAATTTTATTGTGTGATATCAGTAACTCAACATCAGTGTTGATATGCGTTGTCACTATATATTGACAGTCTAATCTACAATGTCATCTTGAAGTCAGACGAAAAACATCATGTGTGCTCTTACTTCAAAAATATTTGAATTAGTAATCGAACTCTTGAAAAATGTGCTTCAAAGTCGAGAAAAATGCACTCTGTGAAAGTCCTCCTGGCACCCCTCTCTCTCCAAACACTGCCCCTCCACCCCGTAGCAATGCACGGGCATATTTTATATTAGTAGATTTAAAAAATTCTGAATATTTTATAGATATTCATATTAGTGTAGCAAGTGAGCTTGACAATTTTCATGTCATATGGGATAGCATTGCTTCGTCGGTGAAAAAAAAATCAAGTGAAACATTCGGCACCTAGAACACCATGGTTGGAGAATGGGGATTCATTTGGAATTTGAGGAGTGAGACGTACGAGATGATGATTTTTTTCACTCTAATTGTTGGCTACATGCGCAGTGACGACTCTAAGCTAGCTGCTACTACAAATAAATCATATCCACTCTCAATGGACCAAACCAAAACAAAGTGCAAAATAAATAAGAAATGATAGATATAATTTTTCACTCATATTAGTGTACCAGAAAAAAGTGTAGGGCACGGGCATTTGCTTCCGGTGGTACGTAATCAAAATTGCTCTTGAAGTTGTAAAATATTACCCACCGATGCCACATGTAATTGAAGAAAAACGTTTCACACAGGGGCTCCTCGCCTGGGCCAGCCCAACAGGAACCTTCTATACTGCATGCTCGCTGGGAGAACAACCAGCGCGCCAGTTTGGGCCGGCCTGTTTTATAATTTCGTACTTCATTTTTCGTTTTCCTTTTCCGTCTTTTTTCTAATTTTAGTAAGTTGGGAATTCAAAAAAATACCGAATTTAAAAAAAGGAGAATTATGATATTTTTAAAAATGTTCACAATTAAAAAGATATTTGCAGATATTATAAAATGTTCATGATTTTGAAAATTTTCGAAAATCTGTAAATAGGTTCGTGAATTTGAAAAATGTCCACGAGTTAAAAAAAATGTTCATGATCTTGAAAAGTTGTTCATGATTTCACGAAAATGAGAGAGATAGTGTATCTCGGTGATGCAGCAAAATTTGATCATGACCATGGGACATTATGATTTTTCTTCCTCCCGTTGCAACCCACGGGCCCTTTTGCTAAATAAAAAAATATTCGTTGATTCTAGAAATGTTCGCTATTCAAGAAAATTGTTTAAAAATGATCACTTTTTAAAAAATGTTTGCACTTTTTATAAAACATTCATAAATTCAGAAAATGCTCTTGATTTTAGAAAATGTTTGAAAATTTTAAAAGTGTTTACGCATTTGAAAAATGTTCACGATTCATATATGTGCATGAGTTTAAAAAATGTTCATGATTTCACGAAATTGCATGTGATAGTGTATCTTGGTGTGCAGCAAAATGTAGTCACGGTCAGTGGAGATTACAATTATTTTTTTCCCGTTGCAACGCACGGGCCCTTTTGCTAGTTAATAGGTAAAGAGTAAAGATAAAGATAAAGAGTAAAGATATATATATATATATATATAGCGTGGGTGGCCCTACCACGTCTCCCCTGTGGAATTACAGGGCATTAAAACCATTATTATATTTATTATGTACTATTACTATAAATAACTTCCAAATAAATCGCAGATACGTGTAGAGTTCCGGCTGATTTTCCTCCCACCCACGGAATTTGAAGGCCGGCGTCTCGACGACACGATCCGTGGTACAAAAAGAAAACTGGTCGCGGAGGAGAGCGCCTCAGCTGAGCCGCTGTTGAGTAGAGCCTCCTCACTTACGCAAGCGCTGACGACGCGAGGTAGACGCCGGCCACGAGCTAGTCTGAGGGTAACTTTGTGCGTGGGAGACCCTGTTTTCTTGTATGATAACGACTTATCTCTTCCATCAGTTTCAAGCAAATTCAGTCGATGACATTCAAGAAAGAAGGATCTACAGAGTGTCTACAGACATGTTTAATACTCCGTTCAATTGTACAGAGCAAATATGAACACAACAGTCATTTATATGTGCACAGAGCAAATAATGATCACGCCATTCAGTTGTTTCGTTTATCGGTGGGGATTGATTGCTACACAAGCTTGCGATTGAACACGAAAAATGCTTTTGAACTTGCAATGGTTTTTAACCTTCCCGGCAAGCAATAGGCATCAAAATGCTTTCTTGAGGACTTGATGTACAAACTGCCTGCTTTATTTCAGAGCTACAAAATGCACACAACATACTAGCTCAAGCATGTCAACCAAAAACACTCATACTATGCTCAGCTGGGAAGAAATGGTTACTCTAGATTACACTACTGTTACATGAGCGCGGTTTGTTGGGCATCAAACCTGACAGTTCGCTGCCTGCTACAAACCTGTACTCCGGTTAAGGAAAACCCCTTTCCCAGGCCGCAGCTCTTCTCGATCTCAGCCCCAATAAACTTCTACTGCATTCGAGGGCCAGAAAGGAAATCACCTGGTCCCCTTCCAGTCAAATGTCATTGCGGACAGCACTGTATCAGCCGATATCCTATGAACCCGCAAAGTTAGGTTGCCTATCACCGCCAGAAGAATCATCCTCTTGGCTCTCATCAACCATGGGGTTGCTGCTGGAATTAGACAAGGGGGGAGCAGCATCCTCTGAGGATGAATCCATGTTCGTTATCTTCCTCCTCTTCTTGGAACCCGAGGATTTCATTACATGACTGGAGCGCTTCCGACCCTTCCGTTTGCCCCTTGGCAGACCTTGTTGCGACTCGGAACTACCCTCTTCTCCCGGATATCTTTCAGCCTGGTTTCTTGTCTTCTCGGTTTCCATTGCATCAGCCGACGAAGGGTCGCTTTCCACCTTACGTCGTTTATTCGGATTCACCTGAAACAAAAACAAGTCGAACCCTCATCCATCAGACCAAGCACAACATTTGAAATAGATTCAGTAGAATGCATCTTCAACCGTCAGACAATATATAATCCTTTTGGTATGGCACATGGCTACTGCAGTAAAATACTTTTCATGCATGGTCTGGTTTGGAAAATAATATTATATTTTACGTTTCTTCCAGCAGACAGCTAAAGTAGTACTCCCTCCAAAGATTACGTTCTGTTCTATTTTTTCTGTTTGCAGCAAGCTTGTACATAGTATTCCCCTTTTCCCTACTGAACTAATTTATAGGGCAACATAAAATTGAACTTCCAAAAATCAGACAACTTAGTTAAATGAATTTATATGATGATTTCATCCCTAGAAGCTAAACACTTGGTCACATGAGTTTACATGATGATTCTGTCCCTAGAAGCTAAACACTTGTTTAAAACCTAGTTTTAGCAGTTGTAATCCTTATTGTAACAAACATTGATACAGGCACCGTCTAAATGGGGAAAAAAAAATCTCCCTCGTCAACTTTAAAGACCAGGGAGTGATTTAAAGTTAGTAGAGGACCCCAAAAATGCGACGTACAGCACTGCATTCATGTCAAATTCTTGTGTTTTCTCCTAATCCTGCACTCCTGGAATTCTCTGTGTCATGTGGGAACAGGCCCAGCGCATCACACTCGTCATCAAACCACAGCAGTCACACCAGGGGAACAGGACCAGGTGTGCAGACTGTAGTGTCAGAGAAAGGGATCTCTCGCTCCTATATTATCTTGTTAGTTTGCTAGCCCTTTAAACTGAGTAGACATCTCTTCCTCCTAATTATCTTGTTAATTTGTTAGCCTCTTGAGGTGCTATTTCCCTATGTAAGCTGGTTATAAAAGACCTAGCACTTCATGAGAAAGAAAAAAGCAAGAAGTTATCTCCTATCTCATCTAGCTCTCTTCTCTCATCCCTACTCTGCTTCATCGCCTACTCTGGCTATCAGAATCTTACCACCGCGGTGGAACGGCTGGATGTTCTCCAGCCGGCTTCCGTCCACTGCTTGTGGCAGTCCTTAACCTCAGTTTGCAACATTTTGATAGTAACATTGAAATGAAGGATTTTTACGACATGAAACTTTTTTGAAATAATTATATCTCTGTTTGCTAAGTATGTAAATTTCTCCTTAGTAACAAGGCCAAAACCAGGGTTTTACAAGTTTTGAATTCTTTTTGGCCCGTTTGGATCATCCTGATCATGCCGCCATGGAGTACTAGTGTGCCATTTGGTTCATCTTGTAAAAAAATGACAGCAACAAATTTGGTTCATCTTGTGTGTGGCATTTGAAAATGTGAACTAGAAAGAAATATGCCAAGTGACTCAACAGTCTCAAAACCATAAGCGGGAACAGATACATGTGTCTAGATACGAAATCTAAAACAAGTAATTTGGGACGGAGTGAGTACTTGTTAAGGGTGATAAAATTAGGCTGTGTATTACTCATACAGGGAAATACAAATACAAATATGGATAACTTTTTTTTAGAATTAAATATGGATAACTTTGAAGAGAAAATCTCACCTTTGGAGCCTGGTAAACAAGGTGAGCCCACTCGCTCTTTGTCCTGAGACAATCATCAACAGCATGCAAAAAGCTGGAATATGAATAATCTTCTCCTTTGGGTTTAACTAAATCCCTCCAATGCTGAGAAGTAATATAAAAATCAGTGTGAACTTAAGAAAAATGAAGAAAAAAGATCAATTTTACAACCTTCAACTCTTGCCCAAGTCCACTTACAACCTTCACCTCTGAAATCGGTTCACTTTCGGATGGGGCCAAAGTTGTAAAGCGAATGGATTTCATAGTTTGGGGTTAAAAATAAATAGTTCAGGAATTAGGAGTTGAACATTGGCGAGAGTTGAAGGTTGTAATAAAGTGGACTCTTTTCCATAAATGAATACCATACATGAACTGCTCATGTAAATAACATACCTCACCGATAGCATCACACAGTTCGTCATATGTTATATTTCTGTTCCTACTGATGATCTCATCAATGAATCCTGTAGATAGATTGTATGTCAAGCTCATGGATGTCTACAGGGGGGAAAGCAAAATGGAGTAATGAACTGAACAACATACCAGGTAAACTGCGCGGAAGACCGTTATCCATCCGATCGTCCTTTTCTAACCCAGTGGTAGCTTCGTTTGAACACATACCATGATTTTGCTCTTCCAATTCTGCATTGTCAGCTAATCTGCATGAGTCCTTCACAGAAGGAGTACGTTCGGTGCTATAATCTTTATGCCTTCGTTCAACAAGAGACACCTTTCCTGACCTCTTGTTGTCACCATTATCTCTCAATGCGGCATCATCTTTGTTTCTCTTCTTTAACACCTGTGCAAATAGACAAACTCAATTTTTTTTACATAAATGAAATGAACATACATTTATGAAATTCAGTACAAGTGATTCTTACCGGTGTTTGATCCCTTCCTCCATGTGCTGAAGACCGCTTGGAAAAAACAGACGCTCCAGTTTGATGTAGCATCTGGCTACCTGTTTGTTGGCCACGTGTCACCCTTGGTACTCTTGGGGAGCTATTTAATTGTTGATGTAATAACAAGGCCAGCTACGAAAAATAAGTAACAGGAAGTGAGAAATCCTTTAACTTGTTTATCAACAGAAATATTTGATAATGGGAACTTCATTATAATTCACACCTGTTCATCACTCAATGAAGATGTCGCATCAGAGGCTCGCAACTCAGTTGATGCTGAATTAGTAGGGCCCTCTTGTGTGACATGAACAAAGCGGTGATGGGTCTTGTCTTTTTTCTGGGATAAATTGGAAGGCATTGCCTTGTTCCGAGAATGCAATGGTGGCACTTCTCCATGGAATGATCTTGCTGTGGTGCCAGCTGTCATAGGTGTCTTTTGTGACTGCTCCTTTGAGGCCGGTACTCTAAGTTTGGCTGAAGGCACATTTGATTTGCTTGTTTGAGATGATTTTGGTGCAGAAGAAAGGGAGCCTTTCAGTTGAACTTTCTCAGAGGACCTACTAAATTCTTTGGAACTCTCAGCAGAATGCTTTACAGAATCATGTTTGCTATCAGCGGGAGTAACCAACCTCGTCTGTTCCTTTTTCATTAAACGGCCAGTCTTCCCTCCTGATGATGGTTCCGCTGAAACTAAAGAGTGTGATATCTCAACATGGGAATGTGTAGGACCAGAAGAGGCTGTGCAAACTTTCTGAGTACCTAAAGCTGAGTTTTGCTCAGGTATTGTGTGCATCTGACTTTTTGTCACGGAATTTAGAAGATCAGAGCCTGAATCAGAGATAGACTTGGCTGAACTTCTTTGAGTGGTCAAAGAACCTGCACCAATCCCTTGACCTTGATTATCGCTCCTATGCTCATCATTAATGAACTGGGTAGCCTTTGTTCTCTCACGATCCTGAAAATTAACCCCTCTCTTAATACTCTTTGATTTTGACTGAATCGGCAAAGCTAGTACACTAGCAGGAACCTGCAGATTTGAAGAAGCTTGATTTGGTTGTTTCTGAAGACCCACGTGCACTTTCTTGGAACCAGCATGGATACGCGTACCTCCATCCATTTCTGCAACAGTGTAATGTTACAATCATAAGTAACACTACAGTGTTTCAAAGGTATTTTCATAGTCATCAAATCATAATTCTGCCAAGATAGCAGCTGGGAGCTTTAGTTACCTGCATTCACTATGCCGGATTGTAAGCCCACATTATGGCTTCCTTCAATGTGTTTCTTACATATGCTAACCTGCATAGTCACAGTGTTCTGTAGATGTCAAGGACTAAATACACTTCATAAAATAGACTGCAGATCATAGGAAACAACCTTCAGAAACTCAAAGAAGTCACTGAATTAAAAGGGTATATATATTTATTCCATTAGATAAAAAAAATTAAACTTATGGTGTTTGACATGAAACTATAAATCTGTAGCCGCTTGTGAAGTAATAAAGAACATAGGCTATAAGCGACAACTCTACAAGCTAAATATCTGCATATGGCGGTATATCAACTATAAAAATCTTATTAGGCATTCACTTAAAGACCGTACATTAAACAGTGTTGCCAAAGATGCTAGGCGAGCAGAAGCATGCTACATAGTGCCTAGATGGCCACTGTGCCATTATAAAGAGACATGGTTGGTAGACAATTTCAACAAGAACACACGAATAGATGACCACCAAGCTACCCTTTTGTCCTAGGATGCTACTTCACTCCTGATGATTAGCGGTGTCATTCCTGCCACTCCAATAATCAGCAACAAAACGACCACCACCATGGTAGCAAGCGGCAACAAGCGACGGCGACAGAGGTGCCTAAATCATTCCCAGCAGCACCGCATAATTGACGGCAAGTCAGAAGACTCCACAACGTCGCGTCGCTTGCCATTTTCTCCCACCCTATCCAGCTCTGAAGCACTGCCCAGACACTGTCTTTGACCACTTCCGACCGCAGAACATTTTTTTTTATAGCACAGGCAACAAACAAGCTAATATTACTGACACAATCAAGCACCGCACATTTTCATTCCAAAACATATTTAGCACAGAAATAAACAGTTGGCGCACTATCACATACTAACTCATTTAAGAAAAACAATACTTACAAAAATGCATCAACATAAAAATTGTAACAGAAACAGAAAAGGCAACACAAAGTCTCTTCATCTCTATTCTGCGCCAGGAAAATAATGAAGTTCACTCTTCCGGATATTTTGGATCTGCCAACCGAATTGCATAACGCTGCGTTGGGATGTTTGTATTGGAGGGCTCCGTATTGAATTGGTTGGAATACCAATTCAACAAGGAAACCGAAATCGGCATGAATACGAATTCATCTGTTTGGTTGGTCACTGAATTGACTATAGACATGAAACATCAAATTTATCCATATACATATGATCAATCTGACCATACATATGAAACATCAAATTCGTCCATACACATGAATCTGAATATACAACTATCTCTGGTTCAGTGAGATAACCAGAGATATTTTAGGACAAAGGCAAGGGAGTGCCATGGGGCGGCTGTACTAGTGATGTTCTGGTGGATGTACCACCGACGCATCCAGGGACGATGCCGGAAGCGGGAGGCACGACCCAGGCGGCAGCAAATGGGGAGGGTGCTGGCGACGCGCCGGGCAGGGAAGGGAGAAGGTTGTCGGCGCATCTAGGGAGGAGCAGCAACCGGGGATGGGGGAGGCAGTCGCGACCTGGTAGGAGGAGGACCGACGGGAGATGGGGAGGAAGGGCGACCTGGGAGGACGAGGAACAGACGAGGACGGGGGAGATGTAGGAGGAGGGGGCCAGAGAGGGAACATGCCTGGACGCAGGCGAGGTCAGGCGCCGCCGCCCGCTCTGCATTTTCACCTTATTTGTTCGAGCAGGGGAAACAGGAAAGGGGCGTGAGGGCTGAAGCGGTACATTTTGCGAGATTTCTCGATTCAGCGCAATTCGGAGCGGTAGACCTCTGTATTGCGGATGGGCACTTCCTGTGGGAGTGATTCAGCCTGAAATTTGGTTTCAATACAGATTGCCAATTCAGTGTCCAGCCAAACAGGTGAATTGAAAGTTTATCAATACAAAATCCAATTCAAGGGCCCCAATTGAGACATCCAAACACAGCATAATTTTCTTTAGGACACCCAACAGTAGTAGCTGGACACACTACGCCATTTGACTGGTCAAGCACAAAAAATACATTGCTTTAACAATCAATGTTTTATTTCCCTCATATATGATATCCTCTTCCTCACGCATCACCCCTGACTTGTGTTTGGTTCGTTTGACCACCTGTTGAGGCACAGCCTTGATGATGGCAGAGCAATCTCTCATGCTAGTGCCACCTCACGACAAGACGCCCTTTTTGGCAGAGCATCACCACCACCTCAATGCTGCTAGAGAAGACACGCACTAGAAGATTTAATAGTTCTTGGTTTTGGGTAAAATCAGTGTTGATCTAGGTCACCGCAATAGTAGTAGTGGGCTAATTTTGGGTTAATTATATTAAATCTCATTATGTGTTTTTTACGCCACCACAATTCAGCGGCCTCCCACCCGCTTGACAATTACTCCCTCCGTAAAGAAATATAAGAGCGTTTAGATCACTAAAGTAGTGATCTAAATGCTCTTATATTTGCTTACAGAGGGAGTAGCTGCCAACTTGATAACAATTCCCTTATGCCCTTCCATGAAGTTATATCAGACCAGTCAATCTCTGATTCCCATTACCCTCAAAGCAACTTCAGCCATCCCTTATCACCTACTTTTGGGCTCTGGGGCAAAAAATTCACTCCAACCCTCCCCTTACTCACCTCCATAAACCAGGGACCCCTCCTCAACCTATTTTCTCACTACATGTAAAAAGGCAGGGACCATCCCCTCCCCCGAAAAACACCAACAGACACTGTTTTCTTTGCTGACCGCCGAAGTTCGCCTGAGCACGTCGGCATTTGGCAGAGCTCACCAAAGCCCACCACAATTGACTGAAGCCCATCGGAGTTCACCGGAGCCCATCAGAGCTCGCCGGCCGCCAACTGCTAATTTTCCTTTTCCTCTTTTTTTAATGTGAAAAGAATAAAAGGAGGCCCCTAAATTAGAGAGCGAGAACCTCTAAAAAAGGTTTAGGGGACTGGTTGGAGTTACTCCCTTCAGGTCATGTCATCCAGCATTATTCTGAATAACAATTATTCCAAGTGTGAACATCATTCACAATAGAACCATACACTCTCACAAGGTTTGACTTGCTAATTGTTTTTCATGTGGCTTAGAACAAGAGAACATCCAATCTAGGATTCCAGTATATACGTCATCATCATTACACAAAAAGGTAAAATATAAATACTCTACTCCTCTTCAATTTTTTGGAAGCTCGGCATTAGCTGCCAGCTCTAATATGGCATGGCCTGCCAGAAGGTATTAATGGGATAGCCATCCATCACAGCAAGTTTTTCGTAACTGAATTCTATGTTCATATCCACGCATAGTGTCATGTCAAATGTCACATGCCACAGCCAAGATGCATTCGCAACTCTAATTATCACTCTGAAAAGAGTGCGATTGGTAGAATTCATAAGACATGGAGATTCAACTATTGAAATTAAGGTCATGTAAGAACCTAAAATGTAAATAGTTTATAATGATTTATTATTAACATATGTGGACCAACCGAAGTACTATGGGAAGCCAGGACATGGAGAACAATTCACTGCAAATATCGATGTTGTTTGGGATGAAGATACATTGCAGGTGGAGGAAATCAGGTGCTAGAGGCAGGGAAATCCACTGTACCGGCAAACAAGAAAACCATTTTAAGGTACACCAATCTAAAACTTAATTTGGTTAAGCTGATCAGGACAAGTTAAGTAATTACATTTAAAACGGGCTATTCTTGAGGTAGCAGCACAACTCGACTTGTATGACCACATAACAGATTAAACTCTCTGGATGTGTGCTCTTGAAGTAGCAAATGGCCTACTGATTAGTCAAAATGCATATTCCAGCAGAATATAAAGTAGAAAACAGCACTCCCACGCTTTTCCAAACCAGCAACACTAAATAAAGGCAATAGATTAAGTATTGTGTGGTTTAATTGCATACAATATACTAACCTCTGCCTTGACAAAACGTGAGTGTGCTTCTTGTTCTGCCACAGCTGATGTAGCTTTACCTCCAGAGGAGATCTCCAGTTTAATAGACTCCTTATGTTCGTCCTTTTTCAGCATCCTTGTAGTTCCCTCAGAACTCCTCTTCTCCCCACTCAGTTCCAAGGATTCCTTCATCTTCTTATTGGCTTCACCAACCACTTTAAAATCAGAATTGGCCATGGTAATGTCGGCAAGCTGATCGTTATGCCTGACATCAGGCATGTTAAGATCCCCTTTCGACTCAAACCCATTATCCCGTGTATCAGCCTCTGTGGCGATCTTGGATGCTCCTAAAATGAACAAACTAACAATCTATAATCGAAACGTAGGCAACATCATTGAAAAACTAACTGTTCTGTGTGCAGTAACTAAATAATAAGAATCGTTGCCAAACTATTCACCTTTTGTCTTGGCATCTGTCCGAGGAGGAACCTCTTTTGCGCCTTCAGCCTTCTTGCTTAGGGTTTGAGCATTCTTGTTTCCCTTATTCCCAATCGGGAGGGATAATCTGGCCGCCGGCGCTGGCACTGGCACGGGCGCCGTCTCCTCCCGCTTCTCCCTGGCCATGGCGAAAAGAGCGTCGGCGCCGTCCTTGTCCTCGGCCCTCTTGTCCTTGTCCTCGGCCCAGGAGGGGAACTCGCAGTAGCGGAAGCCGAACTTCTTGGGGACGTAGCCGGCGCAGCGCCAGAGGGCGGCGGAGAAGGCGGCGGAGGGCGGGGATCCGCGGAAGAGGGAGGCGTCGGCCCCGCCGCCGGGGAGGCCGTGGACGTGGACGCGGGCGGGGAGCGGGACCTCAGCCCACCTGCGGTAGAGCGGGGGCGGGCGGTGGGTGGGCAGCTCGGCGAGGAGCTCGGCGACCTCGGTCTCGTCGGCGGAGGAGGGGGCGCGCTTGTGCCGGCAGTTGTGGCAGGAGAAGGAGGTGTGCACGCCCCGGACGTAGCGCGCGCACCGCGTGTGCACCCAGACGCTGCAGTCGTCGCAGCTGACCATCTCCTCGCCGTCGTCGAAGGTGACGCCGCAGGAGCAGTCCACCGTCCAGGAGCCGTCCACCCAGTCGTCGGCGGGCGCGGGGGCAGGGGCGGGCGCGGCCGCGGCCGCGTGAGGGGCCGGCGGCTCCGGGCGGTGCAGGCGGCCGCCCTTCATCGGCGGCGACGGGGGGCAAAACCCTAGGTCCGATTCGCCGGATTTTTTTCTCTGCTCGTTTGGGTAGAAAGGGGAAGGGGAAGGAGGAGGCGTGGACGAGGGAATGCTCGGGCGGAACGGAATAGGGGGGAAAGTCCGATTTACCCCTCGAGAAGGGATCATCGTTTCGATGGTGAGCGGTGACATGTGTTTGGTTTGTGGAGTACTGTAGTGTTATGGGTATTCCACACCAACTGGTTCGGGATAGCCATTTTCTGTGTTTGGTTGAGAGTATGAGAAGTAGTTATAGATAGTCAATTTTATGTCTGGTTGGAAGGATAAGAGATGGATAAGTTGTTGAGATACTCTTTTTAGTAGAAATGGTGAGATTACCCACTATACGTGCCATTTGAACCATATTACAGATTTCAGAAGACTGTGCCAAGATTTTCCTATATGTTAACAATAGTTTTGAAAGTTGCACAAGTTCTCGTACACCAACAGTAATTTTGAAAAAATCATTAACTCATTGACGGATTTTAAAATTCACAAGTTCATACATAACCAGCCATATATTTGGCAGTGCACACAAACAACTCTCAAGTAGTATTGTCCTCAATTCACAATTCAACTCCATTAGCACATGTCATTGTCGTGAGTGAGGACGTACGCGTGAAACACGCACATGTACAACATGGCTGAAGCACATCACAACATGATTCGATCTCGCCACCGCCTGGCAACTCTGGTTGCCCCCCCCCACCCCTACAGCCACACGCCTGCATGTGACGCCCTCGGCCCTTGCAGCCACACACCGCCGCGACACCCCTATTGGTTGCCTTCGCCACCTCCGTCACATGAGATCTGACCGTCGATGCCCCAAATCTACGGTGGGATAGGGGATACCTAAGAGAGAGAAGAGATAGGACACAGACGTGCCTTGGTCCTGCCACCGCATCGACGCCACTAACCTTCGTCCAACCGCTCACTACTAGGAAATACCTTATAGGTAGAACCTTAACGGAAGCATTGGGTAATAGGCCACCACTACTGCTACTTAGCAGTAGCGTCGGTCCTCAGTAGCGCGTTGTTGCCAACAAGAACCGCTGCTAAGTTGTCCCCACCTTACCCACCGGGGCTATGTTGCGGCTTGAATTACGTCGGTATTTCCTCAAAGAGGAAGGGATGATGCAGCACAGCTATGGTAGGTATTTCCCTCAGTGATGAGACCAAGGTTATCGAACCAGTAGGAGAACCACGCAACACTACGTGAACGACACCTACACACAAAGAACAAATACTTGCAACCCGACGTAAAAGAGGGGTTATCAATCCCTCCCGGTAAAAAGATAGATAAAATTGTAGTAGATTGAATAAATAGATCTCGCAGGAACGCGAGATAAAATAAATAACAATAAATTACAGTAAGGTATTTTTGGGTTTTTGGATTAATAGATCTGAAAATAAAAGCGAATAAGAATAGATCTCGAAGGCAAATATGATAAAGAAGAGACCCGGGGGCGTAGATTTCACTAGTGGCTTCTCTCGATAAAAATAGCATACGGCGGTTAACAAATTACTGTTGGGCAATTGATAGAACTTCAAATAATTATGACGATATCCAGGCAATGATCATTATATAGGCATCGGGTCCAAGATTAGTAAACCGACTCCTGCCTACATCTACTACTATTACTCCACACATCGACCGCTATTCAGCATGCATCTAGTGTATTAAGTTCATGAAGAAACAGAGTAATGCAATAAGAACGATGACATGATGTAGACAAGGTCTATTCATGTAGGAATAGATCCCATCTTGTTATCCTTAATAGCAACAATACATACGTGTCATTTCCCCTTCTGTTACTGGGGATGAGCACCGTAAGATCGAAACCATCACAAAACACCTCTTCCCATGGCAAGAAAAATCAATATAGTCGGCCTAACTAAACTAAAGATTTGAAGAAGAAATATGAGGCTATAAGTAATCGTGCATTAAGAGACCAAAAGACTCTAATAGCTTTCATGGATAAAAACATAGATCAGATCATAAACTCAAAGTTCATCGGATCCCAACAAACACACCGCAAAAAGAATTACATCAAATAGATCTCCAAGAGACCATTGTATTGAGAAATCAAAAGAGAGAGAGGAAGCCATCTAACTACTAATTACGGACCCGTAGGTCTACAATGAACTACTCATGCATCATCGGAGAGGCACCAATGAGGATGATGCACCCCTCCGTGATGGTGTCTATATTGGATCTGTGATTTCTGGAACTTGCGGTGACTGGAATTGTGTTTCGTCGACTCCCCTAGGGTTTTTGGAATGTTGGGGTATTTATAGAGCAAATAGGCGGTGCGGGAGGCCCAGGCGCGCCCAGGTGGGTTGTGCCCCCCTCGGGGCACCCCTCTAGTACTTCTTCGGCCCATCCTGTGTCTTCTGGCCTAGAAAAATTCTCCAAAAAGTTTCGCTGCGTTTGGACTCCGTTTGGTATTGATTTTCTGCGACGTAAAAAACAAGCAAAAAACAGCAATTGCACTGGGCACTATGTCAATAAGTTAGTCCCAAAAAATGATATAAAGTTGCTATACAATGATTGTAAAACATTCAAAAATAATAATATAACAGCATGGAACAATAAAAAATTATATATATGTTGGAGACGTATCAGCATCCCCAAGCTTAATTCCTGCTCGTCCTCGAGTAGGTAAATGATAAAAATAGAATTTTTGATGTGAAATGTTGTCTAACATGTTCATCACATATTCTTTTCTTTGTAGCATGGACATTTGGACTTTTATATGATTCAATGCAATAGTCTAGTTTTGACATGAAGATTTCAATACTCAAGCATATCAACAAGCAACCATGTTTTTTAAAATATTGACACTAAAGCAAGTTATCCCTAGCCTATTATGCTCAATCATTGATTCATTCATGAAACACACTCGCATATTAGCTACACCCAATGCTCAAGTACGATCGTAATGCCCCTTAGTTGGTGCTTTATAAGAGAAGATGGAGACTCAAATAAAAATTAAAATTGCATAAAGTAAATAAAAAGGCCCTTCGCAAAGGGGAGTAGGGATTTATAGAGGTGCCAGAGCTCAAAGCGGAAAAAATAGAGATAAAAATATTTTGGGTGGCATGCTTTTCCTGTCAACGAAAACGATCGAGTAGTTCCCAATACTTTCCATGCTAGATATATGATAGGCGGTTCTCAAACGGAAAATAAAATTTATTCCTTTTTCCACCATACTTTCACATTCCACGGCTAACCGAATCCACGGGTGCCGTCCATGCCAACACTTTTCAAGAAATTTATTATTTGACAACATAAAATAAATTCATTTTTTCATTTCGGGACTGGGCATTCCTAATACCTTTGTCGTACACTCGTGCAATGACAAGTGAATAAACACTCATCTTGAGAATAACACATCCAGCATTGAAAAATATCAGCCACCCCCTACCGTTTCACGAGCGGTACGAGCACACAAAGAAAAGGAGATTTATTTTGAAAATTAGATATGGCACAACAAATTTGCTGAGAACGGCAAAAGAATACCGCATATAGGTAGGTATAGTGGACTCATATGGCAAAACTGGTTTAAGGATTTTGGATGCACAAGTAGTGATCATACCTGGTGCAAATGAGTGCTAGCAAAAGATTAAGAAGCATCCAACCAAGAAACGAAAAATCTCATAAGCGAGCATTAAGCATAACTAACACCGAATAATGCACCATAAGTATGATGTAATTTCATTGCATAACTATTGACTTTCGTGCTTGCATAGGAAATCACAAACCTTAACATCAATATTTTTACTAAAGCATAATTACTCATCAACATGACTCACATATTATATCATCATATTGTTGGGAACATTGCATGGAAAACAAAAAAATTCTACGCACACGCAATGATCTATCCATGGAGATGCATAGCAATGAGGGGGGGGAGTATGTCTACGTACCCTTGTAGACCGTAAGCGGAAGCGTTTCACAACGCAGTTGATGTGTTGAACTTTCTTCGTGCTCCAACCGATCTAGTATCGAACGCACGGCACCTCCGCATTCTGCACACATTCAGCTCGATGACGTCCTCCGTCTTCTTGACTAGCAAGACGGAGAGGTAGTGGATGAGTTCCGGCAGCACGACGGCGTGGTGACGGTGATGGTGATGTGATCTCCGCAGGGCTTCGCCTAAGCACTATGAAAATATGACCGAGGGAGTAAACAGTGGATGGGGCGCAGCACACGGCTAAGACCATGTTGTGTCCCTGTGTGGTGCCTCCTCCCCATATATATTGGTGGGAGGGAGGAGAGGTAGCCAGGCGCGCCCTAGGGCTGGCCGTCGGCCCCTAGGGCCCATGCCTTGCCCTGTGCCCCCCCCTTTCCTTGTATCAACAAGGTGGAAGGAAAGAGGGGGAGAGGGAAGGAAGGGGGAGTCCTACTCCACACTTTCCTTTCCCTCCCCTCTTTCCTTCTCCTCCTCATAGGGCCGACCTCTATAGGGGCGCACCAGCCCCTTGTGGGCTGATGTGTTCCCTCACTTGGTCCATAAGGCCCATATATTTGCCGGGGGTGCCCGAAACTCCTTTTCGGTGACCCGATAAGTACCTGGTACCCTCTGCAACACTTTCGGTGTCTGAATACCATCATCCTATATATCAATATTTACCTCTCGACCATTTCGAGACTCCTCGTCATGTCCGTGATCTCATCCGGGACTCCGAATAACATTCGGTCACCAAATCACCTAACTCATATAATACTATATCGTCAACGAACGTTAAGCGTGCGGACCCTACGGCTTCGAGAACTATGTAGACATGACCGAGACACCTCTCTGGTCAATAACGAATAGCGGAATGTGGATGCCCATATTTGCTCCTACATATTCTACGAAGATCTTTATCAGCCGAACCATTATGACAATATATGTAATTCCCTTTGTCCATCGGTATGTTACTTACCCGAGATTTGATCGTCGGTATCTCTATACCTAGTTCAATCTCATTACCGGCAAGTCTCTTTACTCGTTCCGTAATACATCATCTCGTAACTAACTCCTTAGTCATTTGCTTGCAAGGCTTCTTATGATGTGTATTACCAAGAGGGCCCAGAGATACCTCTCTGATACTCGGGGTGACACATCCTAATCTTGATCTATGCCAACTCAACAAACACCTTC